CGCGGCTGAGCTATCCAAGCACCGCGTGTCTCCCTGGAGGGATTCCTCCCGTCGCCTTCCAGCAGCTCAGGGCGTCTCCTTTCCCCGCAACCCCAGCAGTCTTTCCCTCCTTCGCGAAAGCCCGAGGAAGCCCACCGTCTCACCTTGTACTTATCGAAGCCGGCGAGCTGCTCGGCGCTCACGTAGTCATAACCGGCCATGGTTAGCAGCGACATCAGACGGATCCGCTATGCAGAAAAGGGGCCCAGTCCGTCTCGCCTACCTTTCCCACGCGAGGCTACACAGGGAGCAGGAGCGCCGCCTGCATAGAGACACACTGAATGCTCGTCCCGCCCGGCTTCGAGAATAACAGGGGAAGAGGAGGAACTCCCCCACCCCACTCCAGCCCCTCGCCGGTTTCCGTACTTCGCTGCTCCTCCTCCCGCGTGGCAGCTCCAGATCAGCCCATCCGTGATGTCATCGAATATCTACTCCCCCTTTGGCGCGTCGCCATCTTACATGACGTCGAGGAGTTGGGGATTGGTGGTGTCGCTGCCTGTTTCAGGCAGGGGTCGTTTCCCCTTCCAGCCTTTTGCGCTTCTTTTTGAAAGGCAACTTGCTTTCAAGTGTACCGCTGGGATTTTAAAATTGTATTTGTTGGGCGGACATAGACATTTGGAAGGCACGTTCAAGGTGTTGCCTTTATCCCTCGAATTCATTTGCAACTGAATACATTCCTGAGCTTGGCTCTTTTTCTACCCCTCCTCCGTTTCCTCGTTCAGTTCCTGATAGCCTCAGTCTTTCCCAGCTGTTCTGTCTAGATCTAGAATATCTAATTGATCCACCCTGCTGTATGTGGATTTGTTGATAGGCTAATAAGAGCATGAGACCCAATTTTTGGATTTTGCTCTACAGTATAATAATTCAAGCCACTTCAGTTTCTTTTTATGGGAATCCTTTATTTCCTATAATTAAAGTTATAGTATCTGCATGATTTGTGGGAGTTTGTGTGTGCGTGATTCTGATAGGAGGCTGGCTGAACATTGGAAATGGTACACTACAAGTTAACTTTTTCTTTTACTGAAAAGGCAATTTTATAATGAACTGTTAACTGCACAAGTTGGCTTCATAAAATGCACTATTGCATCAGTTGATCTGTAACTCAGTGTATATCCTGTGACCTGAGTCCAAGATTGCATAGATAGATGGTGGGGCTAAATATTGGGGGTAGAAATGAACATCCGCATTGTAGAGAAAATGTATAACAATCTAATTCTGCTGCTTCTACTGATCCAGTACTCTTCTGACATGTCCCCAAATGATTTGGGGAAGGGGGGAGGATAGAAGAACTTATCAAATTTGCAGACAATACCCAGCTGGGAGAAATAACCTTCTGGGTTCAGTTCTAAGTGGGGAAAAAGACACTGGAAACATGGAGGCTGTTTGGAAAGATGGTTTAATGATGGACAGGACCACATGGCTTGGAGCTCCAAAGTGAAAAGGACAATCACATGCGTAAAGGGTAAAGGAAAAGAAGGGGCAAGATGCTGAGAGATGCTTATACCTTCTGTTGGGCCCCACCTTAGTGTTTCCTGTTCTTGTGCAAGAAATGTATCCTATTGGCTGTCAGACTCCCAGGGGCGGGAGTCTTAGCTAACTTTGTAGACTTTGTCTGGACCACAGGGCTTCACCTGAGTGCTGGCTGACACAATCTTCCCAGGGCAGGTGGTGAGATGGGTAGAGGGCTTTGTTATGCAAAATACTCTGGCCCAGGCCTTAATGGCCCGCCTATTAACAAAGGTGGGGGGTTAGGTTCTGCCTCTCTGAGTTTCTACTTCCCTTTTAGGGAAAATATTCTGCCTTTTAAAATATTTCTTAGGATATTGTAGGTGGGGGTGGGTGCTAACTTCCTGTATCGGTGTGGTAAGAAAGAACCAGATATTTCTGCATTATTTTGCCATCCCATCCAGATTTTTGCAAACCAAACCTGGAGCCCTAATTGTAGGCAAAGAGAGCAAAGATGAAGCTTACATTTCCTTTCATTTGTTATGTTGAGGAAGAGAGAAAAATATAAGTGAAGTCCTCTCTTAAATTGCAGCCCAAATCTGGTCACTATTTTTAAAACTTTATTTGATAATCTTGTATAGTTCATTATTTCCATCTTAGGGAAGGGCATGTAATGGAGAGCAGTTTATGATAGCCTGTAGCACAGTTCCCTTTTAAGTTTCAAAAGACGTAAGGTTGTAAATTAATTTGGTATTTCTGCTACTCGGCAAATCCAGTGAGCCTAAATTTGAGAAAGAGGCCAAAGGTAAGTCACCCATCATCTTTTACTGTTTTCAAACAGCTCCTTTCAATCCTAGAGAAAACTATACCCATTCATTCTTTTCTATTGTTATCCTTTAATTTTTATAAATAATTCAATAATGCATAGCTATTACTATTCCTCCCTCCTATTTTGCAGCCTTTTTTGAGTGCCCACAGCTCTAACCTGATTTGAACAGTTTACTGGCACAGATTTTAACTACATTTAGTGCTGTCTGGGTTGTTGTTTTTTCCTAACCCAGATTTATTAGTTTGGATCTGAAACCCAAGATTTAAACACTGAAAATGGGCTCATGTTAGATATTAAAGACATTTGCTGATGCAGCTTTGATGCTAGGTTTTGATGTTAGTGGTAGGGAGTGGAACTATTCTAAGCAAATGCACTTTTCCTGTTTTATCTGTAAATACTGTAGAGTCTGTCCTTGAGAAGATGAGAATATTTTAGAAAGTGAAATGATATTAAGGTGTAATCTGTAGTTATCTTTGGCCTAATAGGCAAGTAACTGCATTGGAGCAAAATATATCCTGGTACATTAATTTTATACTTTCAGATTTCTAACTTCTGTTTGTTAGATAGCCATTGATAAAACAAACCCCACATTAAAAAGTATCTGAAGCCTTCCCCTTAACTTTAAGTGTTAATCTATTCATTTCTGCACATTCTAATATTTTATTACATTTTCATCTATAGGGATCTTTTTGTTTTTCCACTGTTGTGCAAACACAATTCTAGCAGCTGTTAACATGTGTAAAATTAAATATGTATTCCCTTTAAAATACCCAACAAAATATTTCTGGTTTTAAATCTATATATTGCTTTACAATTGTTTCTAACCATGACACCACTTACTCTTGAATAGGTACTTGACTTGAGTGCAAGCTGAGCCCAATACTGAACCTAATTCATATATTCCTGTTTTTTTAGTTGAGGAATAAATTTCAGAAAAAGTATTCAGTATTGCTCTGTGAATGTAGCTATGAAATTCATTCTTCTTGATCTAACTTCTTAGATGATTTTGTATTATATCCTTTTTGTTTGTTCCCATTTTGTTGGACCCCAATCCTGTTCTCTTAAAATTTACATAACCACCAAGCAATGCCTACAAAACTGGTAGTAGAAAAATTTGAATCCCACCAGTGGACAGTATGCTTTCAAATATTTTGACTGCTAGCTTTAAGTTGATCTAGTGAATGATTTGCTAATTCAAATTACACACTAAGAATATAAATCATTTATTACAGTACACATACAATACAGCTATGTATGACATCGACTCTCCATCACCCGAGGATTTCATGGATGAATCCATGTGGTTTGACATAGTGAGGTGTTTGATGCCCCCTTCTTCCCATTCCAGCCAATAACCTTGGCATTCCTGGGGGGCTCTCATGCAAATACTAACCCGTCTTTCTTCCCTTAGCCTTTTCGAATTGGTACTGGCATTTATTATTTTATATGCTGCCCATCTCACTGATAAAGCAACTCTATTTAGCTCGGTTGTAGTGAGTAAACCAGCCCGAAATCATGTTTTTTTCTATTCCTGGTGCTTTCTTGATCTGTCTCGTTAGCAACCCCTTAATTCAGGGGTCCCCAAACTTGGCAACTTTAAGACATGTGGATTTCAATTCCCAGAATTCTCCAGCCAGCTTTCTGGAAATTGAAGTCCACAAGTCTTAAAGTTGCATAACAGATAAGAGATAATCAGAGTTTGAAGGGACCTTGTAGGTCATCTAGTCCAACCCCTCACCCAAGCGGGAGACCTACATCATTTCTGACAAATGGCAGTCCAATCTCTTCTTGAAAGTCTCAAGGGATGGCGCTCCCACAACTTCCAAGGACAAGCTGTTCCATTGGTTGATTATTCTCACTGTCAGAAAGTTTCTCCGTATTTCCAGGTTAAATCTCTCCTTGTTCAGTTTCCATCCATTATTCCTTGTCTGGCCTACAGACGCTTTAGAAAATAGATTTATGAATAAATAAATTTAGAAAATTGCCAAGTTTGGGGGCCTCTGCCTTAACTATTCTCGGATAATAGAAAATCTGGGACAGTAATCTGGTCCATCAGCCCATTCCATCTGCTGCTGAAATCCTGCTCCTCGTTCAAGCTGCAAATTCCCCTTTTCCCACAACACACCGGCTGCCCACCAGACAGAGCATCTAGCATTAGCCACTCCTCGAATTGATCCGCTGCGTGTCCCGAACCTCCAATTGGTCCGTTCCGCTTTGCCCCGCCCCCGCTTAACGTTCTGTTTACGCAAGCGCCAGCAGAGATTCAAACGGTGGCGGAAATTGCTGGAGTGGTTGAGACTGTCTTGTTTCGGTGAGCGTCTAGTAAAGGGCGGCGCGTCTTCTCCCGTGAGAGTTTTTTTTTTTAAAAACTGTCTCTTACCTTGCTGCGTCTGTCATGAAAGCCTGTGCTTTTGTACGCGCTGAATTGGATGCTCCCTCTCTTGGGAGGGCCTTAACGGTCTAAGGAGGGGGAGCATCTCGCCTAACCGCTGCTTTCCCCAGTTTGCAAGCTCTTAGTTATTAAGTTATTGGATGTATTTTATACTGTTTCTTATTACCAATATAAAACTAATTTTACTTCTGGGTTCCCTGAGCGAACTTCAGCTAGAAAGTGACCCCTGCTTTCATCTGCATTCATGCATTTGAAAATTCTTCCCAATTTTTTCCTGCAGAAACATCTATAGCTATGGCTGCGGAAGCGTCTTTCAAGACTCCTCCTAGTAAACTAGAAGGAACAAGAAGGAAATCTGGTGAGGCTGGCTCTTAGTGAAGATATGGGGGAAGCTTGAGAGTCATTGGTTAATTTAACTTTATAAATTGATCAATTTATAGTTATGAGTGATCAAACCTATTGGAAAAATTAGAAAAAATCTTTTAGATTAGCAAGGCTTTTGTGGTGGAAAATATGGCAGTACATGACTTAAAGGTGAATGTAGCTCTTGGCACACAATATTCCCCTTTGCATAAGTGAAGTGCTCAAATTGATTTGTAGCGGGGGTGGGGGAGAGAAATCTGTGACAGAAAATGCAAGAAAGTGGTAACTCAGTTCCTACCAGAAATACACATTGCTGTTGGCAGAGGAGGATGCAATGAATGTTTATTCTAAAAGATGAGAATGATGGAATACATTTGTAAACTTTCTCTAAGTGCTCTTAAATGCTTCTTATTCAAATGTAGCAAAGAAAAGATTTTAGTATAATTTATATTTCAAAATATATAAATGTTGTATATTTGGGAGAGGATAACATTTTATGTATATGACCATGTTTCCATGGCCATCATTTTATGAATCACTCTGCTTCCATTATAGTGAATGTGAAGAGATAATGCTGACTCCAAATGATCTGATATATGGTTGAAATTGAAATAGGTTTATTTTAAAAAACAAAGTTATAGGACAGATCCTTCAGCACATCCCTAAAGAGAGAGAGAAAAGCACTATGACATCTCAACATATCAAAAACTTCAAAGAATTTTCATCAGTTTGTGCAAGAAATTATTTGATAAAGTCTGATCTTGGCTACTGAATTAGACAATCCATGCTTGCAATTGTAACAAAAACGTATGTCCTATACCATAAGCAGCATGTTTTCTTTTTTACAATATAGGACAAAATACTTCATCTACGCTATCTATTCCAGCTTCTCCCTTCATGAAAAAACTGGGATATGGAACCGGTGTCAATGTTTACCTTATGAAACGGTATATTGTCTTAATATATTCCAGCATATTTAGATTTCTAAAACATCACCTCATAGGTCACTTAGCAAAGTTGGGAAAAATGAGTGATTTAATTTTGAACCTACTAATTGATTGTTACAAGCACGGTAAATCTGGATTTATCTGAAGTGTCACGTTGTCTTATGTCTGCTCTACAACTCTGATTTGATAATAATTCCTGCTTTCTGCTTGTTGTTTGTTACAAACTGTTATGCTGGGATAGCTCACTAAGAGGATTTAGATATTATGAGACAGAAATATAAATTAATTATTGATTGTTGTTGAACCAGATAATAGAATTGGCTTTGGTAGTGATGGGTGGCTTTTTTTAATTTTTAATTTTCATAATAGTACTGGAGGCTCAGAAAAATGATTTGCTTTCTGAAAGTTGAACTATCGAAGGAAAGTTATTTTAAAATGTCTGATTTATTTGTGCAAATAATTTGGCAGGTAAAAAAATGCCCAAACTACTTCCCATAGGGACTGAGAGCTAATTCTCAGCAATGGTTATATTTCTGTCTATGCTAAAATAATGGAAATCTTATTTCATATACAGTAGTTTTAGCAACTTAGTTTACCTAGACTCACATTTTTAACTAAAGTCTTTTTTTTTCTAGGTCTCCCAGAGGGATCTCTTGCTCTCCCTGGGCTGTGAAAAAAATAAATACCAAATGTAATTCCACCCAGCAAAGTATTTATCAAAAGAGACTGAACGAAGAAGCTAATATTCTACAAAACCTTCAGCACCCAAACATTGTGGGTAAGATTAAGTGGGAAAAGTGGAAGATACTTATATTTGTGAGACTTTTTAGTTGACATTTCCATTGCTCTATCTGGCTAAATATAGAGAAATGTCCTCAAGTAGACGTAAGCAAACTGTACTGATGTAAATGACAAGTCCTACTACGAATGAAGGCAAATATACATGTCCCTGGATAATGGTGCAGGATCAATGTGGGCCAGTCACCAGGATTAGCGGTTTAGTCTTCCAAGCTTTCAGACTTTGGAAGCCACAACCAACCAAGCACCACATAAATACTAATAGATAGCCCAAAACACACATTCCAGTAGAGAGAAGTTCCATGAGGATGGGTTTCAACACAGATCCAAAAACTTGGAAGATTAAACCTCTGGTCCTGGTGGCCAATATATATTAGATTATGCAACAAGCCCTACTGTTCTATTAATCTCTTAGGTACCATGGGAGTTTTCTTGAAGTTTTTTCAGCACTATTTAAGAATAAATACTCGACTGAAAAATATTTGGAGAATTATAAAAAGTACTCTGGCCCAAATAAACTTTGAATTACCCTGGGAATAATAAAATAGATGGATGGTTGCCCCTGGGGACACTGACAAATGCTAAGTATGTGTTTTGAAGGGTTTCGTGCATTTGCTGAAGCCAAGGATGGAAGTATGTGTCTTGCTATGGAATATGGTGGGGAGAAGTCCCTGAATGACTTGATTGAAGAAAGAAATGAAAAACACAAGAAACCTTTTCCAGCTGCCACCATTCTCAAAGTTGCACTGCACATGGCAAGAGGCTTGAAGGTAGGCTGAATAAATTGAATATGACACTTCAATGTGAACCTTCAAGGGCCGATCAAAACAAAAATGGTAAAGCTTACAATCCCCTTTGTAAATAAAATCCTTCTCTTTTGATTTTCAGTATCTTCACAATGACAAGAAATTGCTTCATGGTGACATAAAATCTTCTAATGTTGTCATTAAAGGTGACTTTGAATCAATAAAGATTTGTGATGTGGGTGTGTCCTTGCCTCTAGATGAAAATATGATGGGTAAGTTGAATATTTAGTGTTCCTTTATTTTCTTTCACTGAAAATCAGCTTCAGTTCTTATTTCTGTGTACTGTATACTATATTGGGAAATTTGCAGTGGTGGTCATCAGTCAACTTTCCTGCCACACTGCTGAATCCTTAAAGGAATTCTGCTGTTAGAGTCAGCTGCTTTTGTGATCTATTGTACAATGGACAATAAACAATTTGGCCACCCTCATTTGGAAATAAACTAGAGCTGCTATGCCCATTTCATGCATATTTCCTTATACCTGAAGGGAAAGCAAAATACTTGAGATTATCTATGTGTGAAATACAGTAATATTTTTGAATATTGATTATCTAAGGTTTCTCAACTTCTTAAACTAGAAGAGCAAAAAATAGACTCAATGCAGTTCTATGAGGATAGGCATGTAAGATAAATATTCTTTGTAAATTGAGGAACTGGGATTGTAATATTTCTCTTGGTTCCCAGTGCCAAAAATCCCCTTTCTCTTCTTGGCTGCTTCCAACTGCTGGGGCATATAGACCTTTACAGGAAGCAGGAAGATAAATTCTCATTCTAGTGTTCTAAGTTACTTATGTGGAAAAGGAATGCAATGTGGCTATACAAGATTCGTTTGGAAGTATTTTGGATGGATCTGAGCAAACTATACAGTACTGGGTTTAGAGTTGTACATGCCACAGAATTTCCTCCAATCACTTGCTTGTGCAATGGCTTTATACATTAATTAGATAAATAAATTAGAACTCTTGCTCATCGCAGTTGTGGCTATCAAGATTTTACCAAGCAGCCCTAGTTGCTTGCCTTTAAGGAATTTTAGAAATGAAATGATTTGGATCCTTTTCATAATGCTTACTATGACACTAACTGCTCTTGCCTTTCTTTCCCTTGGTTTTCCCCCTTTATCTTTGCTTCCTGAGATAATTTCACTAAACCATAAAGTTGACTTTTAGTTTGTCACCATAATTTGCTTTTGTTCAGTGAGTGATCCAGAAGCTGAGTACATTGGCACTGAGCCCTGGAAACCCAAAGAAGCTCTAGAAAAAGATGGCATTATCACTGATAAAGCTGACATCTTTTCATTTGGGCTGACTTTGTGGGAGATGATGACACTTTCCATACCTCACGTTAATCTGCTTGGAGAGGATGATGATGGTGCGTCTAAATATTCTTCTTGATTTGGCAGGTGGGATGGTGGGATAACTTAATGTTATTTTTTATTTTAGTCTCAGGCCTGCATTAGCAAAATGATGACTTTATTGGAATAGATGGGCTAAAATAAGATAGGAGATGCAGAATGTTCTTTTTACATCCATACAAAAATGACCAATTTGACCTTCCGGGACAAAAGAAATGGAACAACAGAGCTACCTGCATCTTACAAATTGCTCAGACAGTAGATTTACTGATGAAGTTAGCTGCTGAACCAAATCTTATATGATCTTGGGGTGATTTCAGGCATTGGACTTAGGCCAAATATGTTAGAAGTGTAATCCAGCATGGATTTTTTTTAAAAAATAAGGAAATGTAGAATAACTGCAGTCTTCCAAAATATTTTTAAGTTTCATTCACTACAATTTGTAGTCTGTCTTTCTGTTAACATGGCAATCAAGAATAATAGCAAAATAATAATAATGTAAATGTCTATGGAGATTCTGTCATCCAGGTCGTGGTTGTCCCAAAGGTGCTTTTCCAAGAGGTAACTGGGCTTTCTTGTTTTTATTTAATCCAGGAAGCTTCCTCAGCTCTGACTGGATGGTGGGGAGTAGTAGGATTTATATTCTTTGCAATCAGGTTATCACTCTTCAAATGCAGATGAACTGCTTGTCCTATTGAAACAAGATTCAACACTCCATCTGCATTTGAATGCACAAAGTATACATTCTGGGCAGAGAAGACCAATGGCTTGAAAGAGGTCAAACAGGCCATTTAAGGTATGTTAAAATTGAACAGCCTTCTCAACAGAGGGGGAGGAATATGACATCACCTATCTCCTCTGTACCACAGTAGTCCTTTCAGCAATCCCAAGAAGATTCCACATCCATTTGCACTCTAATTCAGGTGACCCTGAGGGTACAGATAAATCCTCAAGTGGCCTCAATTAATCCCAGCTAACGACCATCTTCAGAGGGATAATGACCAGATGACTGAAAAGAATATAAATTCTTTTACTCCCCATCATTTAGTCAGCACCCAAGAAGCTTCTTGGATGAGAAATTTTTAAGGAAAAAAACTTAAGAAAGTCCAGTTGCAGTTTGAAAAGCATCTTGGGAACTTGACTAAAAAGGAAAGAAATTGAATGTAATTGGAAGGAACATGAGAAAATATCCAGTTCTGTGTCCATGACAACTACTTTAGTAAGCGGAACCATCTTTAAGAGGACCTTGTTCTTAATGTCTAGAAAGGTTCTTGTTAAAGTAAGCATATTGGCATTTATTGCCTTTTTTTGACAAAAACTCAAGGTTATCTGTCTGAATTTCATTTTATTTGCACAATAAGCCTATAAGATTAATGAGAGCAGGAGACTATCGTAACTAGGACGGCCTTTGCATAGTTTTTGTCTCTGTGCCAACTTGTACTCATTCTTGGATCAGGAGGATGTGCTTACAATCACTTATGCCCATTACATCCAGATTGGACTAGTACAATGTGCTCTGCATGGGGCTGTTCTTGAAGAGCATCCAGAAGCTTCAAACAGACAGTGCATTGACAGACAGTTATATATGCTCATAGAACATTGTATGTTTCACCTCTGCTCTATGAACCACACTGGTTGTCAGTTTGCTTCCTTATTCATGGTGCTAATTTTAAAATTTGAATCTCTTATAAGGCCAGGTTATCTGAGGGACTGCCTTTCCCCACTTACATCAGCTTTCCCCATCAGATTTTGCAAAGGCATGCCGTAGATACCATCAACTAGGGATCCACATTTGGTGGGTCCCAGATGTGTCTTCTCTGCCGTGATGCCCACCTTATGGAACATCCTTCCCCCTGAAATTTGATTGGCTGCATCCCTTTTGAAATTCTGTAAGGCCCTCAAGATTGATTGACTAGGTGTGGGGCTTCCATAGAACTGGAAACTTGGCCAGATGGCTCCATTGTTGAGGGGGGCCATTTTTAAATTTTCCCTCCACTTCAACTGAATTTGGGATCATTAGAATATTACTGCATTTTCATATATTTGTATTCACTGTTTTTTATTTTTATCTATTGTGCATCACTCAGAGTTGCCTTTAATGAAATGGGTAACTATATACTTTTAATTTAGGAGAGCTCTCTGATCAAGGAGACTCAAACCCTGGTCACCAGGAAATTGGCAATCAGTATTGTTGTGGGCTTGTTTGAATGTTGAATATAATTACTGTATTTTCTCTTAGCAATTTGTGGTGTTTTCTTGATAATGGTTTTTGACCCATTTCTTATATAATTCTAGATGCTCTTTTTGATGAAGCTGACTTTGATGATGATGCCTATTATGCAGTGCTTGGAACTCGGCCACCACTCAATATGGAAGAGCTGGGCCCTTCATATCAAAGAGTTGTTGAGCTTTTCTCCTTGTGTACTATGGAAGATCCAAGAAACCGTCCTGCAGCAGCACAAATTTTGGATGTTTTGGAGTCACAAGAGTTCATACAATAGCCAACCCAAATTGACTCCTGCATCATATGGCAGCTTCTCTGTTCTCTTCTAGAAATGTTTCTAGGTGCTAACATAGTTATATTACCTGAAAATGTTCAATACATTTCTAGTTCAAATGTATTTAAGATTAAGTGGCCATTTTAAACTATTTAAAATTGCCACTCTTTTTTTAGGTCAGGTAAATTATTTGAAACAGTACGTTTTGTTTTCTTATTGGTAAGCTGATGTGAGAACATGTAGATGAGGATGACTAATTCAGTGTTAAAATAAATGGTTTAGTTGGAAGTGACCAAGTCCTCCAACTTCCGTTGTATTCTAGGCACGTTACTTCAGCTGAATGTGACTCAGACCTAGTATTCATCATAATTCATAATAATGAGAATTTGCAGTTCATTCAGAAAATGGCTACACATGTTGTAAAGGTCATTTTTCCCCAATTTTCAGCAATAAATAACTGCTTTTGAAGGATGTTACCTATTGTTTTATTACAATTCAAATATACAGTATATCTTCAATGCAAATCCTCTGATACCATGTTAATTTAATGTTTGTTAGTATTAACAATTATACTTCTTTAATATTAATATATGCATTCATGTGGTATCCCTTTTCTAGCTTGTCTCCTATTTTCTATTATTTTTTTCCCCTTCCCACTTACTCATACCTCTCTATTAGATTCTATTTTCTTTTCCCAAGTATCTAGTTCTATCCCCATCCGCTTAGCATGTTTTCCTCTTAAAAATTCCCCTTTATTGCCTCAATCATTATCATATTAAATTCTATTTCCTTGTTGCCTTTTATTTTTATTTGTTGTGTCTTCCATTCTGGTTCTTTAATTGTGCTTCCAGCTGGTTCCTCCTCTTCCTGAATTTGTTTTCTTTCTGTTGCTTGTGTCACTTCTGTCTGTGTCTCCATTTCCAGCTTTTCTTCCACCCTGTATTTTATTCAAAATGTCCACAATTCTTCTATTTATAGTATCTTTTATATCTTGTAATTCTGACACAATTTCTCTACATATTCCACTCATCTTTATTCTTATTTATTCCAACGTCCAGGGATCTTTGAATCCCCAAGTTAATCAGGTTATTTCTTTTAAATAGTCTGAGAGTAATATGTTCATAAATTTCTCTACCAGTTGTTTCATAATATAATTTCCTCGAATCCAAATCAAATTCACTTCTAATCTTGTATTGAAACCTTAAGTAAGTTTTGCCTTTCTTCTGTCAGCTGGTGGCATCCATTGTTTTTAACCAGTTTTCTCCAATTTTAAGAATAGCAGACCAAAATAGTAAAATATTTTTTAAATATATAGTTCCAGCATTTTAAAATGCCTTTCCAATTTAGTATCTGTTCATTTTAAAGTTTGTTTTACATATTTCCAAATATTTGCCTCCCCCCCATCTTAAGTTTTTTTTCCAAATGCTTGTACCACCGCTTCAATAACTGTGAGTTCCCATTTAGATGGTCTTTGGGGGCTGAATTTAGTTAGAAAAGATTCTTCTTACTCTGTTCCAGACACTGTTCACTATCTTCCCTCCTGCATAGCACTTAGATGGTTATGGCTGTCCCAACTTTGTGGTGCCCTTTTGACCAGCCTCTTCTCTCCGTCATGGCGTAGAGGGAAAAAGCTCTTCCACAGGAGAGTTGCGTTCTCTCCTGGGACCTCACTGAGCACCCCTCCTTGGCTTCACTGCCCCTCCCTCTGGAGCCCATAACAGAGAAGTCAGCGCAGAAAGCGAGAACTCCGTTCTCTGCTTCTGGTCCCGTTGTGATATCAACCAGAAATCCACTTAGGGTTATTTTCATGGCATTTCAGGGGCTACAATCCAACAATTATTTGAATTGCATTTCAGATTCACTGACACAGCAGAACAAAACTTGGAATGCTTTGGTTAATCTAGGTCTCAAACAAAATTCAGAAGAATCACGAGTGATTTCACAGGGCAAGTTAGATAGTGCTGGTGTCCTGCTCCTAACTATATATTCCTGGTGCCTTTCATTCCCTTTCTCTTGACTTTTCTTAGCTGTCACCAATGCCCACAATTTTTCTTTTACCTCCTGCACCAGTTCACTTATGCCTGGAAGTGTTTTGGTCTGTATCCAGAACAAAACTGCTTCATTTGGTCCTATATATGAACCAAAGCACTCAAAATACATATTTTTGTTCATGTGCAAAATGCATGATACTGTAATAAATAGTTTGAAATGTAGCTTTACAAGAACAGTTGCTAAATATAAGAACTCGTTTCCTTGGTTTAATGGGATTTGCATTGTCTATACTGACAGCATCAGTTAATAAAACGTTTGTAGAAAAGGGCATAATAAAGAATTGCAATGATGTCAGAACAAAATTAGTGCAGTGCTTTGATGTGTAATGAAGCACAGTGTATGTGTAATTACTTGAAATGATGGTTTGAGGTGTTCATTTAGTGTTATTATGGGTATTCATAGAACCAGGCTGGCTATGTGGATCAAATAAGTTAAATTATGCCATAAACTAAGGGACAGCCACTTATGGAAGGATTTTTCAAGTAAGAGGCTATTTGTTAAGATGTGGATGTATAGATTCCACAATTCACATTTCTGTATGCTAGCTAGCAGACAGGTTATTTCATTATCAAATGTGTATGAAGAACCACTTTATGCTTAACCAGAGATGATCGATTGGGACAGTATGTACATTTTGCAAGCAGACATTCATTATTGCAGATATATACACCAAAGAATGTTTAATAGAGAAAAATATTTATTTGAACAGACTTGGTTCAACAATGTTTAGTGCAAGAATTGCAGTTGTTGTAGACATAGCCTACCCAACCTGCAGTCGCCTCCAATATTTTCAAAGATAGTTTCAGCACTGTGCTTCCATGAACAGGTGCAAAAATAATTTTAAAATATTAGTTCACAGCAGCATTACATTACCTCCTACTCTGTATTTCCTCTAAAACAATTGCAGCCTTCCAGATGTTGCTGAACAGCCAGTCAATATAATCATTGATTAAAAGTGCTGGAAATTAGCTCAGGAACATCATGTAGCTTAACACAGTTTCCACCCCTGCTTATTCAGTCTCAGCACTGAGTTTCTTTTACTAAATCTATCATCCGTCTCCAAGAAACGAGTATTTTCTAGAATATACTGAAGGTGGTACCAACAAAGACCCTAGAGCAATTAAAAGTCATAGTTCTTTGTAAAATTTTACAATCAGTTTCAGAATTTAACTTTTTAAAAACAATTCACATACCAAATACATACCTGGTATGCTACTAACTCAAATTTACATTAACACATAAAACAATGCCCTAACAGCACTGACTACATTTTATAAACTAGCCCTTGCTGAAGGAGATGGGCTCATTAACTCTTCATTGCACTTGTACAAATCTAGTCTTAGCTAATGAAATTATAAACAAGGAAGTTGGGTATTTTGCAATATTTTGCTGCAAATAGCTTTCCATCTGGTGTTGGATCTGAAAAGGCGATTTCATTGATGCTTAAGTAACAGCCAAATAAAAAAGTTTGCCTGGAAGAAAAATTAAAAGTATCAAAGCAGAATAAGAATATAATTGTCCTTTTGTATCTTGTTATCTATGTTTACTATATTTGCTTAATAAAAGTTTAAATCGACTATTACAACATTCACAAAAGAAAAACAAATAGCTCCCGACTGACAACAGTTCATTTACTGACTATTCGAAGTTACAATGGCAATGAAAAAAGTGATTTATGGTTGTTTTTCACATCTTATGAGTGTTTTGGGTGCTTGGCAACTGGTTCATATTTATGACGGTTGTAGTGTCCTGAGGTCACATAGTCACCTTCTGACAAGCAAAATCAATGGGGAAGCCAGATTCACCTAACAACTTCTCACTAGCTTAACAACTGCAGTGATTCGCTTAACTGAGGCAAGAAAAGTCATAAAATGGGGCAAAATTTCACTTAACAAATGTCTCACTTAACAGGTATTTGGGGCTCAATTCTAGTCGTAAATCGAGGACTACCTGTATCTGAAAACAAGACTGTTGTGTCATATTTGTGGTGTTACAAAATCTTCAGACCAGACCCAGCACTACTTCCTTACCTCATCACATCCACCAAACGGCTGGCAATGTGCTTCCTCCGCATCAGACTGAACACCCAGATTCGGCTAATCCCGCAGTAGACCTTTTCTGGCTTTGTTGAGCAACACCAAGCACGCTGATGCTCTGGGTTGTTTTGAGTAGGGGACTCCACTGTTAGAGGCTCTGAAAGCACACGGAAAGCCTGCACAAAAGAAGGGCCACCTTCAATAGTACCTAATTGATTTTAAAGGATGGTTGACTGGGCTTTAAAAATATATATATATTTCCCTCCTAAATTTGATATGGCACATGTTGGGCTGCATCTATCAAAGCGTCCTCTTTCGAAAATTGACCAAGTACACACATCTTTCAAAAAAATTATCTTTATAACATCTTCAGACAGTGCTGAATGTCACAACTTTAGGTAAAGACGAAAAGTTATCCATGTTGAGTGACTCATGAATTCTTGATAATTCCCTGCTCGATTGTTTCAATATGTGTCCAATACTCTGCTTGTGGATGAGTCCACAGTCATTCTATTATTTTGTGAAAGACTTGAGAAGGAAGCTCATGAGGGTGGAGGATTTTGCTAGGACTGGAGATGCCCCAGTGCCTTGCAGACTTTTTAAAGCAGGGGTGTCAAACTGATGTATGCAACATGATGGTGCGAGTTGAGACCCCCTGTTTTAAAGGAATGACAGGTCATCCACTGAAAACTGGCTATCTGGATTAGGATTTTCATGCTTCTTGAAAGAAGGGAGAGGGAAACTGGTTTCAGAAATTGCACAGAAGTTGAAGTGTTTGCCAACGAGGCAGCAGCTCACCCCAGCATAAGCTACTTCGAAATCTCAATCCAAGGTATGAATTTGATACTAAGCAACCACTTTTCTCTTCCTATCGCTTATGGAACAGGGTAATGCAAAGATCCAAAATAAGAGATCTTTTTGTAGTTTTGCAAAAACATGGAGACCCTTTCTTACTAACCTCAAAGGAATAAATCAGTAGATAGACTTCATGCTTGAGTAGGGGGTTGGACAAGAAGACCACTAAGGTCCCTTCTAACTATTATTCTGTTGTTCTTTTATTTCTTCCTGGACTGTTAAGATTCCGAAAATTAAAAGCAGTCAACCTTTGTCCAATAAGACATTCTCTACCAGATGTTAGGTAGATCAATTTCTTGAAAACGGTATCAAATGTTTTAATATATCATTACTTTCAAAAGCTCATAAAAGCTCCTGTAGATACATCACCTTCATTTTCCATTGTTTTTGCGTGTGCGTGTGTGTGTGCATGTGTGTATTGTACGATATAAACATACTTTACAAATCAAGCTTAAATATTCAAGGTATGCTGTTTATTTGAAATAATTAACATGTTATTGTTATTTCATGTGTGTTCTAAGATTCTATTTTTAA